ATGGCCACAGCCCTGGTCCTAACTGAGGGGCTTTAACCACTCCATTATGTGCTGGAGGGACATCATAGCAGAGCACAAGCAATCCAGGAGGTTTCTACAGTGCATCAATGACAACCATCCAACATAAGCGATTGAGGAATCGGTGAGGATGGGCACTCCTGCCAGAGCTCACACTTTCAAACAAAGGACTGGTCAGAGATGTGAAGGATGGAGTCAGTGCAGTGACCATGAGATAGTGGCAGGATTTTGAGAGGAGATAACAAAGCAAGTAACATAGATCACAAACTGGGTTTCAGGAAAGCAAACTTGAATCTCTTCAGAGACCTGCTTGGAAGAATCCCAGGGGATACAGTCCTGAAGAGAGGAGGAGTCCAGGAGAACTTGTCAAGGTTAATTTCCTCTGGACTCAAGAATGGTTTAACTGTCCATCCTGACATGCAGGTAGTCAAGAAAAGGCAGCAGGAAGCGTGCAGGGAAGAACAAGGAACTTCTGACTAAACTCAAACAGTGTTTGTTTTCCAGGTTGACGAGACCCAAGGATGAATGTAGACACTGTACAAGTGTGCAGGTATGGGGCTAGGAAAACTGAAGTCCATCTGGAGTTGAATCTGGAAAGGGATGTGAAGGACAACAAGGTTGGCTTCTACAGCAGCAAAAGGAAGACTAAGGACACTCTGTTGAGTGGGGCAGGGGACCCTGATGGTCATGGAAAAGATGGAGGTACTCAAAATACCCTCATCTCAGTCTTTACCAATAAGACTGGCTTTCAGAAGTCCCAGGTCCCTGAGATCAGCGGGAAAGTCTGGAGCAGTTAAGACTTACCCTCGATGGAGGAGGATCAGGTTGGGGAACATTTAAACAGGTAGGATAGGTCCATGAGGCCTGATGGGATGCATCCATGAGTGCTGAGGGAGCTGAATAATGTCATAGTGATGCCACTCTTGATTATTTTTGAAAGATGGCTCTGACTGGGGAGGTTTGAGGACTGGAAGAAAGCAAAGTTCACTCCTATTTTCTTGAAGGGCAAGAAGAATGATCTGGAAAGATAGTAAGTCAGTCAGCCTCAATCTCTTAGATGATGGGGGAAATAATCTTGAAAACTATTTCTGACTATATTTAGAATGACAGGTGACTGTAAGTAGTCAGCATGGATTTAAGATGGTAAGATTGTGCCTGACCAATCTGATAACCTTATACAGTGAGGTGACTAGCTCAGTGGATGAGAGCAGAGGAGCAGATGTTATTTACCTTGACTTTATCAAGGCTTCTGACATTGTCTCTTACAACATCATTGACAAACTTGTGAAGGATAGCTTGGATAAATGGACAGTGAGGCAGTTTGAAAACTGTCTGAAGTACCAGGATCAAAGGATTGTGATCAGTGGCACAAAGTGTAGCTGCAGGCCACTTACTAGTGGTGTACACCAGTGGTCCATACTGGGGCCAGTACTGTTTGATATCTTCATTAATGATCTGGATGATGGGGCAGAGTGTACCCTCAGCAAGTTTGCAGATGATACAAACCTGGGAGGAGTGGCTGATGCGCCAGAGGGTTCCTCTGACACCCAGAGGGACCTTGACAGGCAGGAGAAGTGAGCAGACCGAAGCTTCATGAAGTTCAACAAAGGGAAATGCAAATCCCTGCACCTGAGCAGGAATGACTCCATACATCACTACACAGTGGAGGCCAACTGGTTGGAAAGCAGCTTTGCAGAAAAGGACCTGGGGGTCCTGGTGGACACCAAGTTAAACATGAGATACTAATGCAACAGCATCCTGGGCTGCATTTAGAAGAGTGTTGTCAACAGATTAAGGACTGTCATCCTTCCTCTCTGCTCATCCCTGGTGAGGGGCTACATCAGGAGTTCTGGATCCAGTTTTTGGATCCCCAGTGCAACAGAAGCAGGGACATACCAGTACAAATTTGGTGAAGGGCCACTAGGGTGTTTAAGGGACTGGAGCATCTCTCATCTGAGGAGAGAGTGAGAGAGCTGGAACTGGCTAGCCAGGAGATAAGAAGGCTCAGGGTGATCTTATCAATGTGTATAAAATATGTGAAGGGAATTATTAAAGAAGGTGGTGTCCTGTGAAAAAGAGGCACAAACTGAAATACAGGAAATTCTATTTAATCATAAGAAAAGACATTTTTACTGTGATGGGAGTCAAACACCAGAGCAGATTGCCAGACAGGTTACTGAATCAACTACCCTTGGAGGTACTCAAAACCCAACATGAAGTGGCCCTGAGCAGTCTGTTCTGCTTGGAGCAGGGCAGGTTGGACTAGGGGTTCTCCAGAGGTCACTTGCTACCTCAGCTCTTCTGTGTTACTGTGATAAACTAAGGAAAGACTTTCAGGTGAATCATGTCAGCAGCGTAGAGGAGCCAGTGACAGACAACTCTAAGCCAGCCATGGAAGAAGTGGAGTTGATGGTGACTGTACTGATGAAGCTTTTAATTATTTTTCCCTTGATTTTAAATAAGTGTGATATTTTTCACTTTGGAAATACAGTTTGACCTATGTTCGGCATCAAAGGCCTGTTCCTGATTCTTGGATTTAAATTCTTTCCAGGTATTATTTACATCTGTTGCCTGCATATTCACTAAATTTATTTTTAATATTCCCTAAAACAATATTGCAAACCAAATAAAACTAATGAATCAAAGGAAAATCTTGATATGGGAAGCATTTTATGTGAACTCATTAAGTGAAGGGAGAGGGTGAAATTCTGCTTTCCACTTGAAAAAATACCATTCTTTTTGAGGTAGATCTCAGTCTGAAGCCACTGCACTTTTTTATTGTAGATGTTGTCAAGTTGATAGTGTCTTGGTACTGCATTTGCACCTTTTAGAAGTAGAGGGAGGCAGAGGTTGAATGCTGTATGTCAGAAGCAGTGGAGTGGGATAGAAGCTAACATTCTTGAACTGTTTCTTTGTTTTGACAGCTGCTTTGTTAACGAATGGTATTGTGGTGTTTGATTGTCATTATGCATGTAGGACCTTTGCAATGTTCTTCCTGAAAGAGTGGTCAGACACTAAAATGGGTTCTCTGGAGATGTTGTGGAATCCTCCTCCTTGAGGATATCCACAGTACCCTGACCAGTGCCTGAACAAGACAGCGTACCTTCAGAGCCTGACCCTGGTTTGGGTGCTGCATTGGACCAGATAACCTTCAGCAACCTTTCCAACTGAGTTATTCTATAATTTTATGAAAATGTTACATAAGCAAATGCATTTCCAGGCCTTAATAATTCCCTGTTAAACTGCAAACAGGAAAGCAAATACCCACTTTTTGCATGTCATAAAGGCAACTTAGCTCACCCCTCCAAGGCCCTATAGCCAGAGGCTTGTTGGAGCCAGTGTTACGGTTTTGCTCTTTCCACATAAACGTGTTTTTAGAATTAGGCACAAAGTTCAGGGACACTGTGACTGGAGTGCTTGTTCACACTTATTTGGGTTTCAAGTGTGCTGCTATTGAAAAACTTTCTATTTTGTTTTATAGTTGAAACAAGTCAGTTAAAGTTATTAATGAAAAGTCAGAAAGTCTTCATACAAAAAAAATCACCATCCATGTCAACAGATGAACACTGAGAGAGCATGCTTTAATAAGGATCCTTTAAGAGGGAGAAGGAAAATGTAGTACTTTGTTGTGGTTTTGAGTGTATTAGTTTTGTTGTGATGGACCTAGCTTTTGGCCACACTTTTGGAATCCTGGGGTTTTTTTTACATTGCCGTAAAATATGTACAAGTTATTTGTCATAAATGAGAAACCATTTCTGATACATATGTGTTTTTCCAAGGAACTAAATCTCCAGTGTGTTCGAAAAGCCTTTGAGATAGGAGCACCGTCAGACTAGACCACAGAGTGAAGAATATGAAGCAAACTCCCTCATCTATGTAGAATATAATTAGAGGACTTTTTGCAAATGTTCTCTTAAAAGATGATGATTTTAACAGTGATTAGAACTAATTATTTGTGCTGAATTGCTTTTTCTGAGTCTGGGGGTGAGGTGTATGTGGACTGCTTCTTTTCTGTAGAAATTGCTTATGTGGACAAGCTTTTACGATTTTCTTTTAGTTGTCACAGTGCTGTGACAGGACCTCCCAAAGCCAAGAATGGCATTACATCTCTTTCTTCATTCGCTGCTAGTGAGAGAGCTTTCAAAGTAGAGGTATGGACTGAGTTAGCTGTTTTTACTGCTGAAAATAGAGATGTGAAGTCGATATGAATGAAGATACTGCTTTCTCTGAGGAATAATACCCGTGCCACTTCATAGGAAAACATTCAAATTTTTGCTTTATCTTTCTTTCAGTGCCTTTCAGACATACTCGGGAAAACAAACCCTGCTATTATATTTGGAAATTTTTCTGTAGAAGGAAAAAAAGGAAGACAATGTGGTGATGATTGCTGTTTTTCTTTCAGTGCTTGGAAAATGTTTGGTTATTACAGTGTTGGAGGAGAGCTTCTCTCTACCCTCTGTTATGCTTTTGGAAGAAAACTCCTTATCCTCTACAACAATTTCAATACTTGAGCTTTAAAAAGAGGCTAGAAGTACATTGTCCAGGTCCCTCACTCTCTGTTGTCTGAGTTTTTTGTTGTCCCCAAGAACTGAGCTATGCTGGCAGGTTTCAGATGAGAGACCTCACAACCTTTTTTCCTCTGTGCCCCTTTCCTGTGGGACAGGAGTTGTCTCCCAGGCGTAGCTTCCATTGGAGCGTCTCAGGACTCAAACCAAGAAGACAGCAGAGCTGGGCTGTTGGGCTGAAGTACCGTAGAGCTTGTTGCAGAGCCCTGCAAATGTAGGTGAAGAGCTGGTTTGCACGTAGGAGCTTCTGTCAGAGTTACTGATGACCTTGCTGAGGAACAGTCCATGTATTTGAGTGTTAGGGCTTACTCTGTGACAAAAGATAATGTTTTATCCCTAACTACTGCTTTATATTACATAAAATTGATGGTTAAAATTCATAACTTGTACTGCTGTTTTCTCTTCATGATTTCCCAGGTATCACTGCCCAGTGCCTAAAATTTTCTATGTCCAGTTAACTGTTGGCAACAGTGAGTTTTTTGGTGAAGGAAAGACTCGTCAAGCTGCTAGACATAATGCTGCAATGAAGGCCCTTCAAGCTCTCCAGAATGAGCCTATTCCAGAAAAATTACCTCAGGTTTGTGTTTCAGAAAACTATTCCTAACCTTCATGTTAAGATACCAAACTGAACAATTTAACTGCCAGTTTTTCAATGTTTAATTTTTAGTGTTTTTTTCATATTAGCCTCAGTAATTAGAGAAGTAATACTAACAAATTGTTGCTGTTATTTCTTTATAACAGCACACCTAGCATGGAACTAGACTTAAATAACAAAAATAAGTAGGAATTTTAAAGATGGGTTTGGCAAAAATGATTAAATAAAAAATAAAATCAAAATAAAATACTTGAGATTATATCAGAAGTGGAGAAAACGCCCATTTAATCAGTGGCTTCATGGAGAATGAATTATTCGCTTAAATGTGTGCTGTGCCATGAATGTGTTCTTTACAGTTGAAATGACTTGTCCCCAGCATACCTAAGAACCTGAGGGAGCTCACTGACAGCTACTGATCACCTGTTTAATGGTTTTAGGCTTTTAGTCACCTATTACCTTTTTAAAGAACTAGCTTTCTCACTGCTGTGTTTGTAAGTAGTGTATATTGCTACTTACAAATGAAAATATGTCATATTTTAAAAAATATTTAACAGAAAATTTTTTCTCAGAATAATATTTTCAAATTGAAAGGACAAATATAATAAGAATGCCTAGTCAAATAAGCCAAAATAAATGCATGAGGAGACAATCTCTTTAATTTGTACACTCTTTCTGATGACTCTTGTTGGACTCCTCTGTACAGTACAAAACATCACTTAATAGTACCTTCAGTGTCTTGTGTGGTAGTTTGAGCTGCTTTTTAAGAATGGAAATAATTTTCTGTATTAAAAAAAACACCTTTGTTCATTCTGCCTCACCCTGTGTCTACGTTTTCCTTTTGATCCAAAGAGAGTTTGACTCACCCTTTTGTTTTGCTATATTATTTTTCTGCATCAGGAAATTACATTCAAATCACTTAATATTAATTTTTTAAAAAACAAGAACACTATTAAAAAAGAATATGTAAAGTCTTAGGAGAAATCCCTGTTTCCTTTCCTATTGTTAATTCCCTTTTATCTTTGGGTTTCCGGTCAAATGTATCGGTTGATAATGAATCCTTAACACAAACCTGAGTGGGAATTTCATATTACTGAAACCATATTTTTAGGTCAGCATAGTCTTCGTTTTTGAAAATTATATGTTTAATATTATCAAAAGAAGCTTTGAATTCAAGATATCCATTAATCAAAATGGAAATTAAACCACTAAGTGCCTAGGATAATAAGTAGTAGAAATAAATAATATATATAAGTAACATTGATATGTACCTGGATTATATAGTGAGTTTTCATAGCCCACGTACATATGTAATTTACCTAGCAAACGTGATAAAATCTGTAATTAACATTCTTGCCTAATAAAGTCTATTTAGTGCCTATTTGTGTCAGTGTCTGTTAGGATGTGCAGGCTTTTAGAAGATGTAGTCATGGCAAATAGAGTTTCCTAAATTCTTGTAGCATGCTGTAGTGTTGCCTCTCATGAGCTGAGGTAACTTCATTCTTGTCTTCACCACCGTAAGTTATATATGTAAACTGAATCAAATCCACAGTTCACTATGAGAAAAATAGAGAAGACGTGTCAGGAGACAGTACCATAGATTAGCTGAGACATTCACAAAGTACTTGCAAGACCTGTGGGAGCACTGTGAGTTTCTGGTGCAGCACTTGAAGACCCTTTGGGATACTGTAGGATCTCAGTATCAAGTGTCTGTGGGTAGGAGACTAAATTGAGTCCTCAGTTAGGAAAACCTGTGTCTTGGTTATGCTGAGGGTAAATGGAGCTGGTTGTGGGCTAGACAGGAAAAAACACCTCTGTCGCTTCATGGGTTAGAGTTGTAGGTGTCTGGAGAAGACTGGAGGTAACACTATGCCTAGGTCATGGTGGAGTACAAAGAGCTGCATTTTGTGGAGCTGAGTGTAGCACTTCAGAGAACTGGAGATTGGTTGAAGTAGAGTTTGAGAGCTTCATGGTGCCAGGGTTCAGGTTCTCTCTGCCGCTGGTCATCTAAAGTTGCATGCAGGGCTTCTGTGCAGTGGTGGGATGTGCCCTCACCATGGGACATGGTCCAGCTCAGTACAACTCTGATTCCTTCAGCAGAACTGACCTGCCTGGGTCAGCCATGGAAGATGATTGATTCATCATTCCTCAAACATCATACATGGATCAGAGCCAGTGCGCATTAGAGTTTGGCTGGCCTCAACTACATAACTAGTTTGAGCTTCTTTCTTCCCCAGTCATTGCCACTGTACTTCCAAAGAGAGCAGAGAGGAGAGCAAAGACAGAGCTGCTGGTACCGATCTAGCCCTCCATCCTATTAGTAACTCACTGAATTTCACTGCAGTGGGATCCACGGAATGTAGCACAGTAGATACATGAGTTTACCTTTTGGCCTTCATAACCATGGTTGTTTAATGAAGCCTTCTATATATTGTTCTTTCATTTTGAGATACCCTTTTTTGTTTTTTGTTTTTTGTTTAAGTATAAAATTTTTTCTATATTAAATCACTGAAGAGGAGTATTGCCATCTTAATACTTCACTGCGCAAACATGTAGGAGAGCATAAGGTGAGCAGAAACAAGAAGCAATCAGCAAACAGGGCAGGGTTACAGGTGAATGTGAACCTGCTTTCATAAAAGAGCTATTGTGTGTCTGCCAAAGCACCTCTGCTGTCTCATAGATGTGAGGCTAAGAAAGGCATTACAATTAAAGCGTCAGTTGTGGAATGAGGATCAAATTTAAACCCAAAGTACTTGAGACACTCCTGAACATATTTTTTCTTCCTTAGGGAAGTCATATGACTAAGGCTTGAAACTTTATTGTTCAGTACTAAGGTCTAAACCTTGAAGTCTATGATCCTCCCTGTTCTCCACTCTTGATTAGGCTCTCTACTGTGTTTAATGGAAAAATATGCAAGGAATTAAATTTTAAGGGCAGAAGGGACAACCAGGGTTTTTCTGGACTGATGTGTTTGTTTTAATCATGAAATTTTGAAATAATGAAATTTCTACATTAGACTACTTATCTGGTTAAGCTAGAGTATAGCTAAAAAACCTAAACACTCTTGATTTAAAGGCTTGGTGGAAATCCAGTGGGATACATATTATTTTATGTAAATTATGCCAGGGAGTGATTATTCCCCATTTCAAAGATAATATGTGAGGTATTTATTCTAAAGTAATTTAGCTTCATTTTCTATCTAATTGGTATTTTCTTATCTTTGCTAAATGTGACAAACATATCAAAAATCTCTCCCCCATATACAATTACAGATTATGTTTAAGTAATTTTGAATCTTTTTATAGAACTAATTATTTCCATAGTGTTTCAGTGTAAAGTTGTTTTTTCTAATCAGTAGTTCATACTTGTGGGTTTTTTTGTAAGATTTTCAGCTTATTAATGTCCTTTATTAAACATGAACTTCATTGAATACCATACTAAGATTCTCACTAAGGGTTTTTACAGAATAGTAGTACCCCACTCTTTATGTATGATACTCTTTATATCCCCAGAATGTATTTTTACTTTTCAATATTGTCCTTTTAACTCTATTCAGCTGATATTTCTCGGTGAACCGAATGCTTTGCCTGTCCTGTGAATAATGAACTACATTGTTGATTTCAGTGGTACTTTACATTTCATTATATGAAATGAGCTAGAGGTCCTGCATAATTTCATTCTAAGTACTCTTGTTACTGTTTCGTACTGCACCTTTTATTTTTTTTTTCAGCAAGTTCTATAAACTTTATAAATGTTTGTTTTGTATTTAGTTCCAGATCAATATCAGGGATGTAAATTGCTTTTTCGGACTCCAACTTTTGCAACCATTTTTAATGATAAAGTGCTCCAAGTCTGTATGCTGTAACTGACTGCTGGATTTTTAGTCCTGCATTAATATATTAAGAGTTAACAAGTGGTAGATAAAAGATTGATAAATTTAATTGTTAATGTGAAGATCTTAATGCTTTTTTAATGTTATTTTATAACTTTGGTATCTGCATTTTGTAGCTATGCTGGTGACTGAAGATTTAGATCAGACGTTGTTATGTAAGATGGGAACTCTGCAGGAATCCACCTAATTCAGCCCAAATTTCTTTGATGTTTACCTCCACTAATAAAAAATTAGGAGCCTGGCCAAGGTTACATGGTTGTTGAGAGATCCCAGTTTGAAACATTCAGAGCATTGCACTTTGAAAGTAGCTGACAGTAAAACCTCTGAGAACTAAGGAAGATGTGGTCAGGGGGACAAACAGCAAAAAGTAGCTGTTGCAGAAGGTGATAACTCTTTGATCCCCATGCTGGTGGTTGTCTGAGAAAAAGAAGACTTACCTAAAGTGTAAAGCAAAGCTGAATTTTAGGCAGGATAATGTTTGCATGTGCTTTTTGTTGTTTTATCTCTTAGACTCTCTGTTTGTTATGTTCCTATGGATAAATAAATAATGTTCTGTGTTAGTCAAGCTGTTCTCTGTCACTACCTTTTCATACTGGTCGTAACTCCCAGAGGGAAGTCAATGGAGGGGCTATTAACCAGCTGGACCTGCTGAGGACACCTGTAACCTGGTGACCCAGTCAAAGTGTGGGGGTGATTCACTGAATTTCTTCTGAGAGAAGTACAGTCTTATGTATTTTCTAAGTAGTACAGAAGACTTCTTCCTCGCTTGGAAGGGGTGCCCACAGAGAGACTGAGAAACAGGTCAAAGGATCTGTTTGATCCTTATGTTTGACAAAAGAAGTGTGTATTCAGATAATTATTATCCATGTCATTAGTAAGACTAAAATCTGTAGAAATTATTTTGTCATCAATCATTAATTTATAAATCAATGTGTATATGTTCCTTTATTATGAAGCATAAGTACATTATATATGGCTTCATGGTTGGAGGGTGTCTGATAATAGGGTGATGAGATAGATGTAGAAATGCTGATTTACAGCAAGACATATGAGAACTCAAAAGTCTTTGAGAAATCGAGGGAGAAGCACATGGGATTTTATCTTCTAAAAATTGTAATATGACTATATATTCTTAATTTTCAGAATGGAGAAACAGGAAAAGAATCGGAAGAAGATAAAGATGCAAACAAGTCTGAAATCAGTGTAGTGTTTGAAATTGCTTTGAAGCGCAATATACCTGTCAGTTTTGAGGTATGTTACATATTCATCTGTTTGATAAGGAAGTATTTTTTTTAAAAGTGCCACTAAAGCCCAACACAGTTAATGATTTTAATACATTTTTAATACAATATTTAAATTCATGCAAATTATAAATAAAAAAGTGTTAGTGTATCAGATTCTAAGACACTGAGTTTTTACTCTTAAATTAGATGCTCTTTCAGAAGTATTAGAGACCTAATATTTTATTGCAGACAGGTGGATGGCAGACAACTTCTGCATGGTTCTGTGGGACTCAGATCAGTAGCCACAGTCAATCTGATTTGAAATAATCTTCAAAACAATCAGTCAAAGTATTTGCTTTAACTGTAGACATTCATACTCTAGGAAAGTCCCCACTGAGACATTTTGCATCTGATGTGCTGTTTTCAGGAATCATGAGTATCTTTTTATCTTCCACACTGTTTGACTCCTTATTATCTCCACTTAATCCTTCATGATTTTTGTTTTCCTCATTTCATATGATTTTATCTATGAACCTGCTTCTGACATTTTTGTTTACCTTAAGTAATAAAGAATATTTGGAGTAGCTCCAATGCTATCAGTGAACTAACTACAGGAGAATGAGTGATAGTAACAGGAAAATTTTTCCGATGAGAAATTTCTTACACAAACTGGTTGTAAAAATCTCATCTTGTGGTAGGAACCACCAGACCGTCAAGCTGGTTTTTTGGTTTTGGTTTGGTTTGTGTTGTTTGGGTTTTTTTTGTTTTTTTTTTTTTAATGCAGAAAATGCTAATGTAAGTGGATCTTTAAAGTTTTATTTTTCTGCTTTTTATTTTACATTTAAACTGAGTTATATACGAAGGATGTGGATAGTGCCTATACTGGTGATGGTTATTTTCTCCATTGCTTTTTCCTTTTGAAGTATAGGCATATATTTGTATGCCAAAAACCCAAATTATTCTGTGGTATGCCTTACAGTGTGCTGTATGCAGTTTACTGACATGTTTGGCTCATATTAATTAATTGACCAATGTCAAATGAGCTGTTGGGACCAGAAAATGGGTAAGAGAGACAAAGACAAAGTATATTGGTTTTGACTAAGGAATTCATCAGTATAGCAAATGCTTATGTGCCTTGTATATATGGTCTATGTAATATGGACTAACTGGAAAGTTAAGAGAATGTAAATCTCGAGGATAAAACTGGGGTGTCTGAGGGTGTTGTTATATCGATTTGCAACTACATGGAAAGACCATAACTCTTATGGAAGATCAGACATAATGAAAACACATGCCTGTGTTTCAAAGAGGAAGTTCATAATTAATGTTTCAGTTTTCACACATCATTTTCTACTTGTAAGCATTTTAAAGTATTTGGAATAATTCCATACAAATTAATACACTAAAATACAAGGAGATGTATGGTCACAGTTCACAAAATAGCTTGGCGTTTCGAAAGAAAAGAAGGATAGTGCTTTGAATGCCTTCTTAACATCATTCTTGTGTTTCGGCTTATTTAAGGGAGAGCATTTTGTAAGGAGAGAATGAAGGCAGAGATATATCGTACAGGAAAAGTCTTATGTGTCAGTTGTCAAAGAATGTTAACAACATTGAAAAAAAGACAGTTTCTTGCTCTTCTGACAGGTTTTGTGTTATTTCCTGCCTTTAAGTATAGGTGACATTCTTAAATAGATTTTTGAGTGTACTTAGTACTGGCTTGTATTTCAGTAAAACTGCTAAGCAATTATGGGTAATCCCCGGGATCTGATGTTTCTAATAAGGTTTTATTTACAAATGGTTTTGTGTTATTCCAGGCAGGCATCAAAGCTTTATCTAGTTTTTTGTGTGTGTGCGATAGCTATAAAATGACCTGCCTTTTCTTCATCTGACGAATCTTTAGCCAATGTTCCAACAGTGCTGTGTTATGCAACGAAGTAATGGTCATAAAGATATGTAAAGTTCTGTGTAAACATGGCCTCAGAATTGCACGAGGGGTGGAAAATAAGAAGAGCACGCAGAACCCCATGGGGTTCTTCTGTCTATACTGTTTCATGTAATATGGCTAGTTTTAATTGCATAGGAATTTTAGGACAAGCTTTAAGGAATTTATTAAATTGTTAACTAAAATAAAGCATGCAATTCTAACAAAGAAGAAGCCTTAGTCCGTACTTATCACTGGTGCATCCTTAGCTAACCTTTATTGATCAACTTCTAAGTCAAAATGCAACTCCTCTAAGGCATTTGCGGGACTGTCAATGAACAATTTTTAAGGAGAGATACAAAACTGATTGCTGTAGGAATTGTTAGAATAGCTGTAAAATGATCTTTTTGCTTCATATTCCCTCCTTGACAGCAGGCTAAAATCTTGATTTTTTTGGTTCTTTTGCAACTTACAAGTTTTTTATTTCCAACTTGTCAGTTAGGAGTTGGGTGAGCCTTGAAGATGTAACTGGTGTCAACAGCTTCAGGTATTAGAACATGTTGGGATGTTTCAGATTGTAATTTCATTTTCAGTATTCTTTTCTTTGGATTGAAGTATTCTTTCTTTAGAATACAATAAATACAATAAATTTTTTTTTTTTTGATTCTCAGTATCAGGAGTTAGGGGATAAAGTGCCTGAACAGGCAAATTTTCTGTCCCTTCATTCCTGTCCAGTGTTTTACTGGGAAAAAGAGTTGCAGTTTCTTGTTTCCCAGTCTTTCCCAGTCTTATCGGAGTGAGGTAGAAATTCTGTATTTTGAACGAGGAACAAACCAAATTGTTGACTCTGAGAGACTGAGCAAGTTGTCAGCAGGAGGATTTACACCTGTCTGGCTCCTGCTGTCCTGGGGATTAAGGCTTCAGATTGGATGACTGACATACTGAGTAGCTCTCATTTGGGTGTTGCATGATGGTCAATCTTCCTCACTCCAGTTTTAATAAAAAAAGCCAGATTTTTATAAATATATATATATATATATTTTTTTAACTGGGAAAATCTGGTATGTCTGCCTGCACAAACGCCTGGAAATATATTGGTATTTTAAAGCTTAAAAATAGTCACGGATGTAGGTGAGATGTTTTTGTTGACCTGCTTTTTGTCTCCTTCATTTTTTTTTTAATGTCCATTTAATCTTGTCATAATATTTTTAATTTTCTACCTGGAGTCTCATTAATAATTGAAGCAGCGTTGCTCTTTCATTGTAATCGTACTGCTGTTTTTCATTTGTCAGCATGATTCATTAAGTTGAGCCAAATTCACTCTTGATGTAATTTGACCTTAGATGTGTTTTGGCCCCATGTGTTTTCTCTTGCTGGAGTTATTCTTTAAATCAGTGGAACAGAAAAAGAAAAGTGTATTGAACTGTCACCCTTAATCAAATTCTCAGCTTTAAATTAGCCATGATTTGGTCCACGGGTCGTATCTTTCAACTGAGGAAATAGTTTAATGTACTAATGCATATAGTGTTCTTGGATAGCAAAGGCTGAATTTCTTTGTAGTGTTTCTGTCCCTAGGCTTATTGCACAACTGTTTGAAATCATGTGGAGTAAAAAGATATAAAATCTGGGGTTAACCAAAAATGTTGTTAGGTAAATATTTTTTTTTGCTAAATTACCAAATTTGGATGTTTAGCTTGATCCGGATCCCATCTGAATCCTATGGGGTTCATTCCATTGACAACACAGACTTTTTTTCATTTACACACTAACAAAGTAACAGTTTTGAATGTTTTCCAGACAATTATTTACCTTGTGTCTCATACTTAAAAGTTTAAAAGATGAAAAACACCCTGGAATACATTAGTTTTATATTAAGAAATATATTTTCATGTATATGAAAATATAATCTGGTTTTGTATTAACATTCTTTTTCATATATATATATATATTTGTGTGCACTTACATATATGTGAGAGAACTTATATAAACCTATTATTTTAGGAACTCAGCAATTATATTGCTTAAGCCAGTTATTTTGTCCTTTTTCATCTGGTCAGTATAGACATTCTTGTATATTTTATTATTAAATTATATTGCTTGTAAGTAGAAACACCTATATAATGGTATTAGTAAGACCACGAAAACATTAAGGACCTTAGTAAGGTTAATTTAGCCATCTTTTATGGCCAACGTGTTGTAATACTTGGATAGCAATGTACAGGGATAGATTAAGATGTGCCTCTAAAAGAGGGAAACCCTGCAGTACGATGAAGGTGTTCAGCACTGATACGAAGCCTGACTGTGTCTGAGAGCAGGGGATTCTGGCGCTGAGCTCGTCCCAGTGGGCCCTCGTGGGCAGTGAGGCTTCCCATGGTTCAGCGAGGGTCACTGCCTCGAAAGCGCCTCTGCCTTTTCATGCGGTGAAGCACTAGTGGGCAACTGTCAAGTGAGGCAACCTTGAAAACACTTCTGAAATTATTACCTGGAATCTTAGAGTGGGAACACTCCTGAACCACAACAGAATAATCCCATGCTGGCACAGAGGTTGTCTTATTCTGGGAAAGTGCAGACAAAGTTGTCTGTTAATTCTCATTTTGTGTCTTTTTATCGATATATGCTGTGATAATTGTATTTGCTGGGTGAAGTTGCCACAAAAGAGAGCTTAAAAAAGATATACAAGCCTAAGGAGACCTCATTACAGTGTAACAGCAAAACTAAATAATGCAAGGGACGTGACCTTGATAAAAAGAACTTTAATACAAAACATGTTGTAATAATATTAAGGTTGAAGGTTTCAGCCCATTAAAAATATAGTTATTACACCAAGACGGCCCTAGCACCTTTACCGTGGTTCCCTTGCACTGAGGCATTACACTTCTTCAAAAAATGTTTTGATGTAATTGCACCTACTGAAAAAATATGTATTTTTATTGATTTTAAAGATAACACAAAGAGATGCCTGTCAGATGCTCTAATGTCTCCTTATACACATTAAATGTAACAAAGATTAAATTAGGGAACTGCTTCCGCCCATCAAACAAAATAACTGAGCCTTTTCCCAGATGAGGTCTCTAATTCCTGATAGACATTGTCCAGACCAGTAAATGGTGCATACATGAAGAGATGTTATCTTAGCACTTGTAGTGCTCTGATTTGCTGATGAATGCCTCCTAAAAGGAGATGTGTGTGTGTGTGTGTGTGTGTGTGTGTGTGTAAAAAATGAAGACAAAAAAAGAGCTAAAGGAAGGTACAGCATTCAGAACTTCTTTTTTTTCCGTATTATTTTAACTTTTAATAGTAGAGAAGTACTTCAAATGGATTTTCTCATTGTCATCTTGAATATGTTTGGAAGGGAATGAATAAATGAAACATTTCAGAACTAATTGACTTTTGCATGAGTTATAGTGGCTGTTTTACTAATTCCTTTTGGTACTGTTGGGAGGGACAGCTGAGAATGGTGGGGGCAAGACTGTGGCAGCCTTTTGAATGCACGGGATATCGCTCTGAGTTATCTACTCTGGCAAGGTAAGAGTTGAGAGCAGGCATATTGCTTGCAGCTAGAACAGCATAAAAATATGGACTTTTAAGACTGAAGTTTTGGAACATGCGTGAACGTGCTACGATTTAATGACAATAGAAAAAAAATTACGAACAGCTCGAAGTGATGCCGTTTAAATATAGTTTGAATATGTTTTATGTAAAGAAATAGACAAAGCCTGATGGACTGTCCTGAATAGAGTTTCTTTTAGTACGTGAAGCACCTTGTAATAAAAAACTAGCAGTCTTGGTTTAATTACACATTGTTCTTATTTACTGTGTTATTGTATAAATATTTTTAAAAATATGGGTATGCTGTGTTTTCTATGAAACACTGAATATGATTATTAGATTTGCTTTATATCATTAGCTGTAATTTTCTGTCCTCAAACTGGAACTGTCATTAATACTTGTCCAGATTTTATGAAAACTCATCTAATGCATTCAGTTAGCAGGAAAACTGTGTTTGTAGTAAGTGTGTTGCTGAGATACAAACGTTAAGTTATATTCTTGTAGGGTGATTTTACTCAATGTTACTTTCTCTTAAAAGGTGATTAAAGAAAGTGGACCCCCTCACATGAAGAGTTTTGTTACACGAGTCACGGTAGGAGAATTCACTGCAGAAGGAGAAGGCAACAGTAAGAAACTCTCAAAGAAACGTGCTGCAATGGCTGTCCTACAAGAACTTAAGAAACTTCCTCCTCTTCCTGTGATTGAAAAGCCAAAACTTTACTTTAAAAAGCGTCCAAAAACAATATTGAAGGTATGTGTCCACCCTGGACAGAATTAAGAATGTTTGTTCAAAATGTCAGAGAATTACTCAGATTTAAAATCAGTAAATGCTTATTTATCACATTCTGTCAATATTGTTACCTGTTTGCCTGTGCTAATATGCCCGTGCTTTTTAAAATTCTGAGAATGCTGTGAAATTCTCAAACATAAAGGCTTAAGAATTGAGCTCACATCACTGAAGTCTTCAGGGGTTTGGTTCAAGTCTAGTGGAGGATTGAACTCTCCAAGCAGCTCTGTACGGCCATGTGAATTTTTAGCATCATCTCTTCTGATAGGCCCTATTAGCTTATGTGGGGGTTTTCTCCCTGGTCTTTTCCCCACTTCCCAGTTTGAAGAGGGAAAGAGATATATGAAATAGTAGGTATGTGGGGAAATGGTGCACAGTCCAGCTTCCTCCCCGTGTGGAGCTAGGTTTTAGGCGTTTTGTGGCTTCAGCTTCTATGTGATTTTTGAAAAATTTGAAAGAAGACCAGGAGTATGTTGACATCTCAGCCTAGTGTGTCACTTGCCAGGTGCCAAAGGTCTACACTTTTTTTGTTTCATGTGCCTGTGTTGCGTTTAGTGTGTGTTTGATAATGCTCTTTAGCTCTCAAATATAGATAGAAAATTGACTGAACAGCCTGTGAAGCACTTGCAGACTTTGAACCATCCTTCCATTAAAACATGCCCTGTCTCAGAGGATATTAATAGGCTTCTTGCTACACTGATGAGGCTTCATTTAGAGGTTCTAGATTCTTGTGAGCTCAAGCTTTGTAAATGATGCTTTTCTTCTTGGTGGCAGTAGATTCATTGCTACTTCTACAATTCAGTCTGTGGTGACTAGCCCTGGTTTGTCTAATCCTAAATTCATACAAAACCAAAGGGTCGTCTGAAGTAATTAGTCTTCCAAATGTTCTAAGAAAAGCTGCCACATAGTGTCCATATACTTATTACTTGTCATCTGTTCAGTGCAGAAGACAGGCTTTGGAAGTAGACAAAATCTGCTACATTTTATGTTATTTTAGGAAGTATTATTTTGTGATGAAGTGGTTAAACTCTTTGTATACGATTTTCTGTAGTCTGGCATGTTGGATAGTCATTTAGGTATACGTAAGGGCACATTAATAGCCCTTTCATGCTCATTTTAGGTTGGTGTTAATAATGTAGGAGAGCTGCTGACTTTCTCTCTGGTGTTAGAGTATATGCAGATCAGGACCTTTGAGACTAGAATTGCAGGAAAATACAGGAAACCTCCACATCCAAACCATCAGAATATAGTTTTAGGACCTAAATTTAATTTCATTTTCTGTATTTGCCTCTTGTTATTTAAAAAAATATCCTCAATTTTTCTGGATTATTTTATGTCCACAGCTTGCATTATGTTACGCTGAACAGCATTATACCATTATGGCTTGAACTCAGTCCTCATTTAGTGTTACACTGATAAACTATAAAACTAAGTAAATCATACTTACTTTACTAAAAGTATGGCCATTAGAAATCTCTACACTCAGTACACCAAGTGCAGAGTTCTGTAGGAGCAACCAAGAGAAAAGCCATTTAAACTAAGAAAATACTTTGGAGAGTGCAAAACTGAGTTTGGAAAATGTACAAAGGACTTAATCATCTTTCTCTTTTCATTTGCCTTCAAAACAGAATGGGTGATTTTTTTTTTAAAAAAAAAAAAACTAGGATAATTAGATACCTATCTCCTACTGAAATTCTAGGGATCAAACTCTCAAAAACTTCTAGGAAAAAAATTAATGTTAAAAAAGTATTTAATGCAAAACCATCAGCATTAATTCAGCTTTGAAGCTGCAAGATCTGAAAAAGATACTGACTCTGACCATGTCGTTTTTGGAAAGTTTTTCTCAGGAAAGATGCTAAAGGGTATAATAATGTAAAAATCTGTTATAATACCATATACTATTACAGTCTTACGTTGAATTATCCAAAGTTGGCCATGTTAGAAAGAGACGTTAATAATAAAAATAACCTGGATATGTTTTTATTTTTAATTTTTTTAATATCTAAACTTCTGAAATGCTTTCAGTGTGCCCATTTCTTTCAATTTAACCCGCATGTGTTTTGAGCATCAAAAAAGTGACAACAATAACTTATTTTTATTTGTATATATATTTATGGGGCTATATCTTACGGCCTGCACTTCATTTAGCCTGCTCTGTCATTTTGTCTCTGCCTGGCTTCTTGCCCACACAGGTGCCTTCGTGCATGACATTGTCTTTAATTCTTTCACCTACATCTTCTCTAACAACTTAAGCAGTTACACTATATAGGATTCACTGCACAGCTTTCTTAATACCCTCTCTGGTCTTTGCCTTCAGTTGCTGATCATGTATTTACGTTCTGGACCACTTGTTCTTATCTGAGGAAGTCAAACGAGCATGAGTGCTGATTTCTTATCCTGCAAGTGGCTGCATGAAAAGGAAATAGCTCAATAACATAAAAAAATTCTACATTCGAATGCCATTTACATTTGCAAGTTCATTTTTTGTGCTGTGGTATATAAATCAGTTAAATGTGACTTCAGATGAATTTTTTTTGGTCTTAATTTCTTCTCCTTAAGATCTGCAAACAAGTATTTTCATAGCTATTTGCTTTGAGAGAGCATTTGCCATATGAGTAATACCATATTAAAAAGATTTCAGAACTAGATAGTTTATAAGGACTGTAGTTTTTCACTTGTCTTTGTAATCTTGGACAGACCAGTCTCTCAGCCCTTTTGTTTTCCCCCCATCAGATCAATTCCCCCACCAACCATAAGTTTTGACATGTTATTGTGAGGATTATTGTCTGCAAAGCATTTGATATACTTTGTGGATGGCTTACAATATGCAACATTTGTAGCCATTGGAGATATTCCTCTCTAGCTTCACTACATAAAAGTATTTTGAGGGTGTACTCCCATGACACAGGAGTAAACCTTCTAGACCCTTAGTTGCATTGTAGGATGGAAGGCAGGAGTGAGAAGGAAGACAGGAAGGCTGAGAGAGGCATCTTCCTTGTTATATGGCAAATCTGGTTTGTCCTATGTAAATCCCACTTCTTAGCATACTGCATGTTCCATCATTGTAGTAACCTATTTTAAGGGGTTAGGGGGAAGGGTCATAGAAATGGGGCAATGAGATATGATTGACTGATGGATCTGCTAATTTTCATCCATCCCCATAGGACCTTCATAGATAGATGAGGGTGCTATTAGTAGCTTACAGATACTACTTATCCACCCTACCTGCAACAAGTGGCAGAAAATAGATGTATATTTTGTGTGACAGTTTTGAGCTTGAGGATTCTTATCTTCTGTCTCAGGATTGGAAGATATGAAGAAATTTGCTTCTTACTCTCTCGAAGGGAATATTAAAGAAGGGGTAACCCTAGTAAATGATTTATTGAAGCAGCATAATAGATGTTGTATGGATGTATGCTGAAAAAATGTTTTTTTTCTTTTAAACCTTTTTTAGACTGGACCAGAATATGGTCAAGGAATGAATCCCATCAGTCGACTGGCTCAGATCCAACAGGCCAAGAAGGAGAAGGAGCCAGAGTATGTTCTTCTGTCAGAGAGAGGAATGCCTCGCCGTCGAGAGTTTGTTATGCAGGTATCATCTGCTGTCACGTTAGAGATAATGCCCTTGCTATATTATGTTCAAACTCAAGCAAAATGGTGGCATAATATGAAGTGGATCCCTCTGTGTTTAGCTCTTTGCTTTACAGTCTGTTATGCAAGAAGAGTATGAAATAAAGTATCAGAAAACCTATTTGAACTTTCTTCTTTCCCTTGATGAAACAATTGGCAATCGGGTTATGTACCTTCTGGATGCTTTTCTCGTATTGATTTTGCATTTTTTTATCCTATTCTTATTTTTATTTCACCTGATGGTTTCTGTCTTTATCCCTGATGGTTCATGATTTGGTTTTTTTTAAAAAATTCTGTGTGTGTTGTTTGATCAGAGGATTGCAATACAAACAAGTATTCTGAAATATGGATATGAATATCTCCATATTACCAAGCGTTTTGATTTAAAAATAATGTAAATCTTTTCAGATCATTAGTTTCTTTGTGTCTTTATTCATATCTGAAATACCACAAAAAAAGCCTTCCATCACATATTTTAGCCTGTCCGGTTAAAGCCTCTGTACCTAATACAGAAACAGTAGATCATTAATGTTTCTTTAATTTTTAAATTAAAAACTTTTACAAAGATTTGATATATCCATGATATTTTGTTAGATATCACAACAGCAGTTTGAGAAAGATTAGGAACAGGAAAGAATTATTTTCTCTTGTGTTTTCACTCAGAGGTAATTTTGTCGCCGAACAGTTCAGAATGGCATACCTCAGCATGTTTTGACTTGTTATCTACAAACCACACCAAAATGTCACTTCTGATCACAAGCAGAATTTATGATGTTCTAGCACCTCCTTCTCCAGAAAATTGGTTATATTTTCACTTAAACCTTTAAGTCCCTCCTTCATGTCTATCAAGATAGGTAGGCAATCTTAATTTCCTTGGACCTCAGTGGTCTTTCTTGATGATTTATTATTTTTCTCTCTGAAGCAGAAGAAGATATTGGGTTCTTTTAGTTGCAGAATCTGATTTATAAATATAAACTTGGGTTTCCAGCTTTTTATGGTGCCTGAAAGTATTTGAAGAAAGTGATGGTATCACAGACAATCCCTTTTCCCATGCTCAGACCCCCATGGGACTGTCCACAGTTAGAGATGGTTGTGTAAGGTGTCAGAAGAGGACTGCGTAATGCAGTCCAGTATTAGAAAGATGGACTGAGAATCTGGTTTTCCATTGGAGGAATCTCAATAATAACAAAATATTTGGTTTGAATTAAAAAAAGAATCTTAAAGCAGTGAATATGTAGAAGAGTCCCTTATCTAAGAAAACTTGTGAAAGAAAGAGTCAAAGAAATTCCATAGAACAGTTGCTTTGTTTTGAATACTTTTAAACACTGTAGTTCCATTTTTCCCCTTTTGTAATATTTTCACACTAAAATCGTATTGCTGTTTCTCCTGCTTTTTGGAAGTCTCAGTGGATTCATTATGACATACAAAAACCTTATCAGAATAAAAAGCCTTTGTATAAACAACTTAAACAATGTTTTCATTTAATTTAATTGAATGTGGAAGTAAAATATCCAGAGATAATATGTTCATTTTTATCTGTCACACAAAGAGCAAGTTTAGATGTGATGAAATGGATCCAATTACTTGTCCTGACTACTAGATAAACAGAAGAAAACCTCTGATGACATTAGTTGGTGTTCTGTTCCCAAAGTTAATTTCAGAAAGCTCTTTCTCTTTGTAGTCAGACCTTTAATCCTTGATAGAGGTTATAATAATAGCTAAACCAGTTTTACAGGTCTGAGAAATAGCAGTGCATTGATTTATTGTGAGCTATGTTATAAATTATCATTTTGTCTTGTCCCATTAAAGTCCCTCAATTTTATTGCATATAAACTTGTAGCAGATTGGCTATTTTCTAATTGTGATTGTAGCACTGCACAGAAGATAAGGTTTCTTTTTCAAGATTATGAATATTTCTGGTTTAGGTAGCCGAATCTTTTTCCTTAATTATATGTATATACACTTTGCAGGGATATTCATCATCATTATTATTTATTTATATCCACTTCTTTGTATTTAGAATTAATAGGTATTTGAGTAAAGAAAAATTAAAACTTTTAAGAAAATATATACATGATATTTCAAGGAAGGTAAATAAATATTGACAACATAAATTACTAAATGACATTTGTTACTTATTTAACAATTGTATGCCTGTTTTTATAATTTTTTTTAAAGCTTCTTCCAGACTGTTTCAGGTCTTTCACCTCTAAGGTTTCTCTTCTAAGGTTTCTCTTATTCAGATCACCTTGGCTATTTTTTTTTTTTTTTTTTTTTCCCTTTTTTTTTTTAAGACACTTTTGAAACTATACACTATTTTAAGAGAAAATTTGGCAAATAAAATGGCTTAATGGACAGAGTGAAATATACCTTTCAAAGAGCTATGAATATTGCGTAAGTGAATATCAATGACAGTGCTAATATCACAAACCAAACACATACAGCTTCAGGAGTTTAAGAATGGTACCAAAGCCAAGGAACAAGTTAGAGCCTCACTCTTTGTGGATATCCATTGTCTATAATTTGTCATTATTTCGAGGTCTTAATTTTTCCTAGTTTTCTGAAAGGCATCTTGTTTGTCAGAAATCCCTTGTGCAGTACAGACCACAGGTCCAACAAGGAGCCTTCTTTCCAAAGACTGTTTTGATAAAAGCTTCTCAGGTGTAAGTGCAGAAAAAGAAAGCAGCCCCAGCCCTCATGTTCCTTGCAGTGCAACGAAGTGGGAGGAATGTAAACGTGGTTTTCTTCTTTCTTTAGAAACCGCTCTCATTTAAATCTCCTGGTCATTATTTCTTCATTGTTCTAGATACTGTCTTGATGATGCTGGGGAAGCTGCTGCAGGCAACACTCCTACAAGAAAGAGGAAGTTGAGATCCTGTAGCACTTCCCACATTAAGAAGGAGTGAGGGAGATGTTCATTAAGGAAAATGGTGTTGTGGCAGGTGGAAGAAAGAGACAACTGTGTGTGCACTGAGATAGAAAAAAATGTAGCTCTTTAGTTTGAATTTGGGGACTTTCTGTAAAATCTAAACAAGCTCCTCTGTGTGAAGCAGTATTGTAGTGCCCTTTTGCACTATTCTTACTTTTTTGAGATTGCATCTTCATCAAAAGAGCTGACAGTTGTTGGTAGGGCAGCAAGATTATTACATGGTGATATTAGGGAGGCTTGTATTTATTGTGTTTATGATCATTTTTTTCTTTTTAAGGTAAAAGTAGGCAATGAGATTACTACTGGGACAGGCCCAAACAAGAAAATAGCTAAAAGAAATGCAGCAGAAGCAATGTTGCTACAGTTGGGTTACAAAGCCTCTACTCCTCTTCAAGACCAGCCAGAAAAGGTGAGAAATAATTTTTATGACGCCCAGTTTTTACCCTTGTCTAGATTTTTATCTGTATCAGCTAATCATTTAGTAAGAACAGAAGCTTAAACTTGTGCACCCCCTGTTTTAGGGGGTTGCTTGTCAGATTTAGACTTCGTTTAGCTACAGTTCCATAGCTACACATAGTATTAAGTGCAGCCTTTCATTCTGTAAAAGTAATTAAGAACAGAAATGTAGTTCCATAGGATAGCCTGTGTGCAAAAGTGTACATGTGACGTGTGCCCCTATTTCTCCTTACAAATGAAGGTGAACATGCCTATTGCTTTTATTCCATTTTGGGCATCCCTGAGAGCACCGAGAGGAATATGTTAGTAATTTTCACACATGAAGTAGCCATAGTAGTCAATGTTTGTCTTCCTGTTGCATATGCACTAAAAGCATTCCAGAAAAATAATGGCCTTTTCAGGTTTGATGACTGAGAAAGAAAATGTGTGTTGTTTTCGTTTGTGGAGAAGGAATTACATTTTAAATTCATACGTGTTGCAGGTATGTATTTCTATGTTAGTGATGTGAAACATAGCACCCCTCTCCTGTCTTGAGTATATTGATGGGAGGTTTTGTAACCAAAATTAGGTGTTAAGACTTTGCCTTTTGTATCCTGAAAAGATATTTGGTAAAGTATTTAGCTAAGCTGTGAACTCTGAACAGCTTCTCTCATATGCAGAGTCAGTGCATATATGTTTTTATATATATATAATTTTTTTAGCGTGGCTTAAATATTTGCTGTGGTCAACAGAATGTTCTGCTGGGCTTTTCTAGGGCCATGATAAATCTGAAGATAGTATATAAATGTGTGTATACGTAATCTGAAACACCCTCTCTTTTTCTGTAAAGAAACCCCAAACCACCATATATGGGAAGATACTCTGTTCTGTATGTTCTATACTCCTAGCCAGAAAAATGCCATACTTGGCTTCACCTCCTTCTGTTTCCCTCTCCTTTGAGAGGAGCAGCAATATGTATGCTATTCACACTCACCTTCACTATGTTCTTCACTATATATCTTAGTCATATACAAGTTTGCAATACTCTAAACAAGTTCCTAGTGATAACACACTGTGCAGTCATAGCCAGTTAAAAAAAAGCTTATGACAGAATCAAATGATAATTAATTTTTATCAGAATGCTGAGACTTTTCTTCTGTGGAAGATACTTTTTACCAGTTTCAACTTTTTCTTGACTGCCAGTTTGGCCATAGGGTTTTCTGAAAAACAAAGCAAAATGGAACAGTCAACTTTTTTTTTTCTAATAGGAAAACATAGGTTTTCATTCTTGGATTTCAAATTGGTTGAACTATTTTTGCTCAGTAATTTTCAGAGACAAAGCCTGAAAAAATTTAGCCCACAACATAGATGCTTTAGAGAGCTTTACACAGTGGAAACTTGTGGTTACATTGAAATCCTTAAAAAAACTAAGTGGCCAAAAAGGGGAGCTGCTGCTTCATTTCCCTACTTCAAACTATTGATTACAAGTGCATTGTCTAAGAAAACAGGTTCAATTACATACTTGCAGACATAGATATCTTAGAATTGATAGAGTACCATACAGTGAGTGGTCTGATATTATTCTGAACACAATGAGTAAACATGGCACTGTATCCCAAAAATGTGAACTGCTCAAATTTTATGTAGTGGCAGTATTCAAGATCATAGAACAAATTTTTATAGCTTAGTTGGGGTTAAGGACATAAAATATCTAGAACATCTGGCTTTATCTTCTGTATATAACTGACTGAACATATTTTCAGATACACAGTTTGTGTAGATGAAAGCATTTTAATTCTTAAAATAAACTGTGCTGGAGAAGGCGGAAAATAACCCTTAGATCTCTACCAATTTGAGCATTGCAAAATTCCTTCCATATAAATTGCACAATAAAAGTGTACCATTAGAAGATACTTGTTTCTGTCTTTGAATCCAAAATGGGGCCCAATGTAGATTAGCTGATGTATCAGTCTGGCATCTAAATGGACAATTTTCACTTGTGTTGTTATTGATTCTTTTTTTAAAAAGGCAACTTCTCTTTCCCCTGCTCCAAATTTCCCCAAGTCCTTTCATCCCCTTCCTCCTCCCTTAAAAAAAACATAAAACCAAAGTCAGTATTTTTTTCCTTAACCCTGGTGCATAAAATGTGACTGTATTCATTGTTCTAATGAAGACCTAAGAGTGTTTCAAGAGCCATGCATGGTGCTGATGGCAGCACAGGTAAACAGGTAATTCAGGTAATGTAAAAAACTAAGGGCTCTGCTTTTGTCTGAGGTATTCCAATTCTGGGAAGAAATCAGTAATGGTTGTGCAGAGCCCTGAGAAGAGCAATTTAAAAGTGCCCTGGGAGAATTCTTACGGCTGTCAGAATTTTAGCTCTATGGATGAGAATGAAGAGTTGTAATGACTTCATTTTTTCATGTTTCCATCTTTTTGTTTCTTCTTGCCATTTTTATTCTCCTAGAGAGAAGAAAACCAGAGTAGATTGCATTCATGTGTGACAGCAGCACCAAGGATAACTTACGGATAACTTACTGATTCTTGTTAAATTCCCCATTGTCATCGAGTTAATAAACAGTAAAAGAGAGAAATGAGGAGAGTTGGAAATGTTATTCTCATATTGTAGCATGCTCGTGCTGATCTTTCTGTGATGTTACAGATGCATATTATGGATTCATGACAAAACCATGCTGTTGTAACAGACAGCAGTAAATAAAAACATATTTATAGTGGAGGTGGGTAACCAGTTGGAGAGCCAGCTCTAATACCTATCCTCCCTTTCTACTAAATATCTCCAATTTTTGTTACACATTGCCTAGGCTGTAATCCCATTGGGGTGTACATGATGAGGAAAGGCAGGGAAACCATCAATGGAATAGCTGCTTTGCATAGTGTGCTCTTCCCTCCTCTTTCCCAAGGAAAACATATCATCTAGGAGTCTGAATTACAACATGATAGTAATCCAGGGAGCCTCAACGCAACCTCTGAGATGGAGAGGCAGATTTCAGTTGACTGATCCTCCTTCGCGTGTCTTCTGCTTTCTGATCAACCCCATCTTCCAGAGCAATTGATTACAGCTTTGTCATGTTACATAGACTGTTTTGCTGTGAGGTTTTCTGTTTGCATATAAAATCTCAGTGAAATATGAAAAGGATCATTTGTTTCATAGAGCTGGTTGTCAGTAGCTCCTAGTTCATGAGGAAGCTTGGACTTGTTCATCCACATTTTCACGTAAATCTAGAACAGTGCCATCCTATTTATTGTGTAGACTTCAGGAATGGCCTAATTTTGAACTTCTGTGTTAATTGCTCCCCTTTTCTGTGTCAGAGTAATACCTGGTGTTAAACATAATAAAATTAATTCGAAGATAGTTAGCTCCCTCAAAAAAGACTATATATTACATTAATATAAAATTGCAATCTTGTTTTGCTTCCACTTCAGTATCTAAATGGATTCCTAGCAAGTAAATATTTTAAAATTACACCCAAAGTACTTTGTAGTGTTTATGCATTCTTTCATAGGCAGATATTACAATCCTCTTGTTTTAGAATGTAATTTCTCTGTTGTCTGTGTATGTTTTCAGTTGAGAGCTACTTAAAACATTTGATTTTAAGTCTGATTTGGTAACACACTGAGTTGAGCCTAATCCTTGGGGAAACATTTATATTTCAATGTTAGGCAATAGTTGTTAATGTTTATTCATGAAGGGTACATTCCTCAAATAACCTATTTTAGACAAAAATTAAGATGTGTTAGCAAAGTTTTGTGAGCAGATGTGGCAATCCCAAGTCATGCTTTTCAGACTCTTTCTACTAAATTTATAAACATGGATGTTCTGTTTAAGGAGTAGTTTGCTCTTTACTTATTTGTCTTTTTCTACCTGTTTCAGCTTGGAGAAAACAAGAGTTGGAACAGCCAGAATGTTGGGTTTCCTGAGCCAACAAGTAACAGTAAGTATTGCTTTCTAAATTTATATTTATACTTATTTGTCTTTGTAGGGTTTGGATTATATGAGACCCTTGAAATGCTTTTGGTAAATATTTTAGGGGGTTTATTGCAATTAGATCAATTAACTTTTGAGTGTCCTTTGTGTAAGTGTAGATATGAATGAATGCAAGAACAAGGAGATTTTTATTTACTTATTGATTCATTGAATCCTTCAGCTTGAAAGGGATTTTAGGAGATCATCTAAACTGTCTGTTCAAACAGGGTCAGTACAGAGTTCAGACAAGGTTGCTTATGACTTTTTCTAGTTCTCCAAGAGAGATACCTTCCATAGCTTTTCTGGACAGCCTGTTCCAATTCTGAATTATCTTCATATTGATTTTTTTTTCCTTTTATCCCAGTCAGAACATCTCCTGTTTGTTTATGACTATCATCTCCTGTTCTTCTGCTACATAGCTCAGTACTGTGCCTGATTCCGTCTTTTTGGCAAACTCTTCTTATGTATTGGAAGGCTGCTATTAGGTCCCCAAAGCATACCACTGTCCTCTAAGTCTGATCATCCAAACAGGTTTTCATCATCTGGTAATTCATCTACCCAGACTCTAATGTCATAGCTTGGATACAAGGCTGCTGTGGGAGACATGATGTTGAAAGCCTGGCTAAAGTCAAGGTGAATGACATCCACTGCTCTCCATTCATAAATCTAGTCATTTTATCATAAAAGGCAATCAGGTTATTGAAGCTGGTTTTTATCCTTCGTAAATTCAGGCTGATTGTTCCCAATGGCTTTTTTTCTCTTTTGTGTGCCCACAAATGGCTTTAAGAGGACTTAATCCATGATTTTCCCAGGGACTAAAGGGAGACTGACCAGCCTGTCTTTTATGATGATGATGCCTTTCTCCAGGCATTGGTGATCTTTCCCGATCTCCATGACTTTTTGAAGATAATAGAGAATGACCTCACAGTGACATAAGCCAGTTGACTCAGACTATATCCCATTTGGTGCAATGGACTTGTATGGGCTGAAAATTTGTGAAGAGCTCCCTGGCTCTGATCAGGTTTTACTACTGGTAGTTTCTCTCTTCCTTGAACACAAAAGCCTGAGAGATCTTGGCCGTGAAAACCAACTTCAGTTTCAGTGCAACAGGTAACATATAGACAGCCCTTTGTGACTTTAACTAGATTTTTGATGTTTAGAGTGGTAAAGATAATGTAAATATTACTTGCTTCCCTTTTCCATGAGCCCTGGATTCTTCTCTAGAATTGTGTTGAGTTTTGAACTTCTTAGGAGTCCCAAATATTATCCCCTTCAACTAAGAACTATACTACAACAGATACACGAGCTACGTTCTATTTTTTGCATAGATACATCTGAAGGACATGGTCCTTAAAAGCAGATTTTAAGGGGGTTCAGTAGTGTTTCGGGTTATATACGGTCTTCCCAGTCACTAGACCTGGGGAATAATTTGTGTTTCAACTTACACAAAAGTTTACTAGTGTTTAAAGTGATCTTGGATTCAGCGCACACCACTGTGTTTCCCTGAAAGGAAGGATTCTACAGGATCTAAAATTTCTAGTTAATTGCTTCATTCCAGGCCTATCATCAGTCCCCATCAATACTTCTAGAATGATTTCTATTTGCATTGTCAAAATCTCTAACATCATTATTAAATATTAACATATTGGAGTTTGGGACAGCAGAATAAGACCTCCAGTTTTTCTCCCCTATCCTTGCAGTGTCTTGTAGCAAAGGTATTTATAGATGGTATCACAATCATCTGCTACACCAATAAGAAAAAAAAGTCTCTTTCTCAGGTTTCACCTGGCAAGAAAACTTTGGCAGCTACACATGTAAATCCAAATCTAGGAGGAGATCACAAAGGCAAACTCACTTGTCAAAGGAGACAAGATCAACAAAATTGTATTTTAAACCTGTGCTGACCAAATAACTTGTTTTTCACAGATTGACCTGCTCACAGACCTTTTTGTAGCCACCACAGGCCACAGTACAGAAACAGATCTTCATTCTGGGATGGTTTTCTAATGAAAGACATTTCTAGATGCCTTCATTTCCATTCTTCTGATCTCCATGTAAACTGGAAATCAGAGATGTAGCTATCATGTGTAGACACAGAGCATTTATTTCTGACAGTGCTGTTCAGAGACCACTGTGCCTAATCCCTTTTTTGAGGGTTCCAATCTAGAGACAACATTAATAATAATCAGCTGATTAAAGTATCATCTTTTATTTCAGAGGGACTGTGCTATCCTTTTTCTAAATAGGAAGGGTTTGAACCCAAAATGTTATTAGCAAACATATATTTTTTTACTGATTTTCTAACTCAGCCCAAAAGGCTCTTTTTGAGGAAAATTTTCTCTAAAATTTACAGCTGAACTGTGATTTCCATATAAAGGCATAAGAGGGAAGTGAACATGTTGCAGTTATATAGAGGAGAGACCAGTCTTTCTTCACTTTACATTCTTATCCAGGATTCATGGAAGACCTAGAAATGCATTTTTCTTCTCTAAATGTGTTAATGTGATATCACCCCTGGCTGAATAAATTACTAATAGGTCTTCTTTTTTGAGTTTCTCACTGAAACTTCTCTTGGTATTTCTAAACTAAATGACCATTCTGATAGAATTATTAATCTGCTATGTCGATTTGCAGTCTATTCAAGTACATCTTTTATACAGAAAACCGCTGTAGTAATTTCTATACTGTGGATCTTTCACACCATTTTTTTGTAATGTATAGGAAGGAGCCACAGATTCTGGATAGAAAATATACAGAACATTTTTGTACGTTATTTAGGTAACCAGTAAGTTCAGTTGATACCTTCCTACTGAATGGCTCTATGAAGAGGCCTGTTTTTCAGGACATGACTGTGGTCAGGGGATTGCCGCATTTGGAGAAGATCTGTGCAGCATCACATGATATTTCTCACCAGTTCTCCATATGCCTGATTACTTGTTGAAATGCTGTGCTAATATTTAGTAGGGGGATGGTCTGCCAGTACATGTTTACCTATGAGCACTTTGCCTGCTCTGCTTCTCGTAGAATACTGTGTCTTAGTTTCCCACACAGAGAATGCATAAAAAATCCTTAAGATCTAGTATTATTAAGAGTTTCTGCTGCACACGCTCGTTGCATCTTCCCCTAAGCCACAGAGTCCAAGATAACTTCAGAGCTTTGTAGTCAAGGAGAACTGAGGAAATTTTCCTTCTGAATAAAAGAAATCACTTGCATGCATGATCTCTCATGCACCTGTGAAGTGCAGAGATTTTTAAGACAGCTCCAAACAAGTTCCACTGTTAGAGATCAAAAATGTCCCATCCTTTCATGTATGAATATGCTAGTTTAAGAGCAACAGTTGTTGCTAGGTGAATCTACTCTTGCAGTGTTATCATTATTGTAGGGAGTTTTAGAGGGGACAAATGGAACAGCTTCCTTCCTTCTATATCCTTGCTTATAAGAGAAATGTAGAGTTTGCATTTGTTGTTATCCTAAAACCTAAACTTTCAGTGGTCTTGAAAATCCAGTCTTTTGAGATTGCTACATCTACCATTTGGCAGCTCTTAGTCAGATTTCCAGTAATTTTATTTTGGGAAAACAAGTATATCCTGCTAGGACAATGTATTGTGCATCAGTTTCCTTTTGAAGGCAGATACACTTTCTTTCTGTGCATAATGCAGTGTGTTTCCATCTGAAACTGTGTGAAATAAAACTGGAATAGCAAAGTGAAGTTATGTATGTCAGTACAGCAAAACCAAAAATCATAACAGTTATATATTTTAGTACAGTTAAAGAACCGATTTTGTTATACCCTTATTATTTAGTATAGTTTTGTTGAGAAATACCCTACAGTCCATATCCTCCTACATACTCACTCAATGCATTTTTAGTATTCCCTATTAAATATCCGTGAAAATTAACTTCTCCTGTTCTGGTCTATCATGTTACTTTTGCAGCTATCCTTGTGGCAAATTTCACTGCTGTTCCTCCTCCTCACTTGGCAGAGCTCCTTCCCACAGGTTTACTTCTTTACCTTTCCTCTTCATTTCACAATCTTAAAGATTAAACAAGAAGCTATAGATATTTTTCACACGTGAAATAACAAGAATGTTGAGTGCGTTTTTTTTCCCTGATGCTTCTGGAAAAGATTTTGAGACACTGTTGGCAGACCACAAGCATTTACGGCCCATACAGGAGATGATTACTGTCAACAGAATGCTTCTTTATCCTCTAGATTTAACTTTAGTGATTATCAACAAAATCAAAACATGAAACAAATAACCAATCCTAATGCAAAGTGCATTTTCTTGGGAACATGTTTTTGATTTTATATTTCTGGATGGGGTAATCACAAACATCGTACAATACATGTTCTAGGGGAAACTGTAGATGACTTATGAAGAACAAAGTAACAGTGAAGTAACAGTGAAGTAACAGTGGTTTTATATATTATAATTCTAACAAGGAAAAAATTACCCTAACTGGTTTTCTATGTTCCCCACCCTCAGTTTTCCATAGTATAGTTTTCCTTTATTGTGTTTCCAGCAATTTTGGGAGTCACAAAGTAGGTATTTAAAAAAATACATTCAGAGCAATTCTACCTCTCTGTAAAGGACAGGCTCTTTGTTTTTCTTGCCTAACATTTTATTACTAGGGATTCGTGCATGATGTTACAGTCTTTGTTCTTCAGAGTACATCTGCTCCTGCTGTTTGTTCACCACCTGAAATCATAATCATTTGTTTGTGACATCACAATTAGTTACTGTGAAGATGATTAGATTGTCACCAACAGATGATTATGATTTCAGATGGTAGATGAGCAGCAGGAGCAGATGATCTCCTAAGGAACAAAGATACTTGATCTCATGCAATTGTTCTCAGTAAAAAAAAAAAAAAAAAAAAGGAAAAAAAAAAAAAAAAGGCAATGAGAAAAAAAGCAAATAGATACTCAGGAGAGTTTCTTAAATCTGTAATGAAGAAATTTGAGCA